CGGACGACGACGACGACGACGACGACGAGCAGGACGACAATAACTACGACGACGACGACGACGACGACGACGACGACGACGACGACGACGACGACGACGACGACGACGACTTCCTCTGAATCCTGCCCCTGCTTCCTCCTCCGCCTCCTCCTCCGCCTCCTCCTCCTCCTTTTCCGACCCCCCCTCCTCCTCTTCCTCCTCTCCATCCTCCTCCTCCCGCTCCCCTCGCCCTCCTCCGGCTGGCCTCTCCACGTGCAGCGCGGGCCTCAGGCTTTGGGGGCGGGGGGAGGGGCGGCGGAATTGGGCCGGTCAGCGCGGGGCGTCTGGGGTCCGCGTGTGTGTGTGTGTGTTTGTGTGGATGATCGCTCTGGAGGGGGGGCATCGGCACGGAGGGGGGCCGAATGAGGCCGTTCAGCGCGGAGCATTTTGGGGGGGGATGTCTGCGTGGGGGTGGTGGTTTCACCACGCAAGAGAGGGGGGGCTGGAACAGGCCCGGCCGGCGGAATGAGACAGTGAAGGGCCGACAGCGGATCGCATCGTGAGCGTTTTGTTATTCGGCGCTTCGATTGTGGAGGGAGAGGGGAGAGGGGGGGGGGCTCCAGAGCTCTGATTAGTGGGACTGCTTGCAGCAGTGCGTTCTCTATGGGGAGACGTCACCTGCTTGAAACAGGCGCCAAAAACACCCGAGATCTACTTCATAGGGGGGGGGACGGGGGTGCGAGGGCCCGCGCCGATCGGCCAAACGATGACTGAGAGAACGATCACACCTCGCGCAGACGGCTTCGATATGGTGCCAGGTAAAGCGCGCCTCGGAGAAGGCACGCGTGTCGGGGCTCAACTGCCATGCTTCTACTGCGCACTCCGGAACCAAATTTCTTGCCCCGAACGCTGGAAGTCGCTACCGCTGCTCGATTCTGGCCAGCCCGTGGACCCACAAACTCTGGCACGGTGGCAGGATTGGCAAAGGGCCACGAATCACTTCTACAATAGTTCTGCCCTCAATGCTGCATCCTCTCCCCCGTGGTTCCTCTGCTCCGCCTGTGTCTCCCTCTTTCTCTGTGCGCGCCCAATGGAATCGGCGGCGAAAAACTGGAATGCCATCCAATTCCTTTAACGAAGCAAAACAACATCTCCGTCTTGGAAACTGCATGCTGGGTGTAGTCCCTGTGCTCCCTCGACACTGTATCTGGTGAATTGTGTGCCCCCTGTCTGCTGCATGCCCCCCTCTACTGGGGCATCCACCTACACTGGGCTATCTCGACGCGCTCTCTCTCTTTCTCTCTCTCTCTCTCTTTCTATGTTTCTCCCTCTCTCTCTCTCTCTCCCACTCTCGCGCTCTCGTTCTCTACCCAAATCATCAGCACTGCGGACACTCTCTCGCTCTTGGGCTGGTCTCTGCGCTCATCATATACAAGCCCAACGTACCAACGCACACACACACACACACGCACACACACACGCACACACACACACACACACTCTCTCTCCGCACTCCACACGGCATCTACACTTTCTACGCCCCCCTTGTTCACCAACGGCTCGTTCTCTCCCTCTCTCTCTGTATGGATATAGCCAGACACCCTGCCCACAAAATGCACTCTGTAGATAGTCCACGCTTTCTGCACCATCCACGCGCTCTGTACCCTATCCACCTTGTTCACTCTCTGAACCCTTTGTGGTTCAAAGACCCTGTAATCTAATGATGGGGGCCCGGGAACTCGTTGCCGAGATTCAAAAGCCTTGAAACCCAGCCGCCCACAAAAGCGGAAAGAACCTTTCACCAACACTTGGAATAATGAGCCTAGAAGCCCCGAGCTCAACAGCCAACCGAAATCGGTGGCGAACTGTCGCCCAATCCTTTCAACCTCCGCTAGGACCCACCTCAGAGGGAGCAGAGAAGAAACTGGTCAAACACACGAGACGGGAGATAGGAAATAGCAAGAGGCAGCATACAACTGCAAGTCTGCCGTGCTGGGGGTGACGAACCCGCATCGCCACATCGGTGTTCTCGAAGAGGTTTGAGTCACCGAGTATCATGGCCTCGGAGCTGAGCTCCTCACCAGAAGAAAGGCTGCTGGGGGGGACTCGAGGAACAACAAACTCCATACACATCAACTCTTGACGGTCCCGGATTTCTTGGATCTGCGCTGACCCCGGCTCCCTAGCGCGCGGAGCGCGCCAGGGACGGCACCGGAGGCGCCACCAGGGAAGGCGGTGGGGGCGCCGCCAGGGGGCTCCAGCGCAGGTCCAAGAAATCCGCGCGGAGCTCCGAAAGTTTATCTTTGCGCAGTGCTTTCGTCTTCGAGGGACCTCCTTCAAAAGGGTCACCTTGCCCCCGACCCTCCCGCAGCCCCAGGTGTCCAAGCATCTCCTCGACCTCTGCCGTTCGTTTGTGTTTATGTTTTTTTATGTTTGTGCTTATGTCAAGCAGCTCGTTCGTCTACGAGGGACTCCTTCAGGTGTTCACCTTGCCCCCCATCCCTCCCGCAGCCCATGTTCGAAGGGACCCTGGGACACACAAACAAATACACGCACATAACAGGATTCCCCTATGTTTTCCCGTATTTTCTGGCTGTTTGTCATCACCCCCCCACTTCCCATATTTTGACATATTATCTGGGGGATGGACGACTGATTGTGTCTGTGTTTTTATCTCCTCCTGAATGTTGTCCAAACATTTCCTCGACTTCTGCCTTTCTGGCGCCCGTCATCGGGCCACGGGTCCGTTCAACACGGGCCCGGAACAAAAAAAAACACTTAGGCTGAGGAGGGGGGGCCCACGCGCTGAAGAAATCACATCGTCAGAGATCTCGGATCGCTCGGCGGGGTCATCTTCGGGCTCCCTCGTCGTCGTCTTCGTTCGCGTCGTCGTCGTCGTCGTCGTCCACGTCGTCGTCCTCGTCGTCGTCGTCTACGACGTCGTCGTCGCCGTGATCATCGTCGTCGACGGTGTCCTCGTCGCCCACCGCTGTGCGGTGCCGCCGCCTCAGATGACCTCAGGGGGACGCAGTGGGCCTCGGAGTGCCTCATGGGGCCCCAGGGTGCCTTAGCCTCCTCATCCTGCCCCTCGCCCACACGTCGTCGTCGTCGTCGTCGTCATCGGCTTCCTCGTGGTCGACGCTTTCGTCGTCGTCGTCGTCGTCGCCGCCATCGTAGTCGCCGTCTTCGTCGGCCATGACGTCGTCTTCGCCGGCCATGTCGTCGTCTTCGTCGGCCATGTCGTCGTCGTCGTCGTCGTCGTCGACGTTTTCGTCGTCGTCGTCGTCCTGCTCGTTGTCGTCCTCGCCGCCGAGGGCTCCTCCTCCTCCTCCTCCTCCTCCTCCCGCCCCCTCCTCCTCCTCCTCCTCCTCCTCCTCCTCCCCCTCCATCCTGCTCCTCCTCCTCCTCCTCCTCCTCCTCCTCCTCCCTCCTCCTCCTCCTCCTCCCTCCTCCTCCTCCTCCTCCGCCACCCCGAAGCGCGACGAGGCGCACACGTGAATCTGTGGGGCGGGTTCGTGTTGTGCCGACTTCGGCGTGCGTTCCTGACACCGCAGGGAGCCTTCAACCTAGCCCGGAACGACCGGCCGATTCCGAGACGTTGGATCGTTCCACGATGCGCCAATTCTGGGTAGGCAGCGGCGCACACTTCGATCCGTAAACGCCGGATCGTTCATCGTCGTCGTCGTCGTCGTCTTCGTTATCTTCGTCTCATCGTCGTCGTCGTCGACGTCATTGTCTCCGCAGTCGTCGTCTCCGTCGTCCTAGTCGTCGTCGTCGTCATCGTCGTCGTCTTCGTGGCGCAAGGCCTGCTGCGTCGTGGGATTAAGAACAGAACTCCGCAAGCACAAACGTTCGGAGGTCTGCACGGAGTTCTCGCATCGGCGCTGGGCCCCGCTTCCCTCGACCGCGGAGCGCGCCAGGGGGCGGCGCCAGAGGGGCCCAGCAACGATCCACAGAATCGCGCAGACCTCCGAGAGCGTACTCGCGCAGATCCGAAGAATCGCGCGGCCGTCGGGAACTTTCTGGCCAGGCCGGTGCCCTCCATCGCCAGGGATGCCTTAATGGGTTTTGGCCGCCCTGCCGCACCGCCCCCGCGACGGCAAAGCATACGCGCTGCCGCACCCCGACACCACCGTCTTCCCCGAGGGGCAGCGCCACTTCTGGGGGAGGCCAGCTCCGGGGGGGGGGGGCGGAGAAACCTCGAGCGCCACCGGCGGTGTATATATATATATATATACATATATGTGCCTATCTATCTATAGATCTATCAATCTAGCTAGCAAGCTATCTAGCTATTTATATATACATATGTGTATATATAACTAGCTATCTAGCTATCTAGCTATCTAGCTGTCTGGCTATATATATATATATCTTTTTATATATCGATCTATATGTATACATATATATATATCGTTATATATATATGTATACGTATATATCTATATATAGGTGTATAACTATATCTATATATCTATATATCTATATATACATACATATCGATATATCTATATAGAGATCTATCGTTATCTACCTATATATATATATATTGACATGTATATCTCTCTATATATATCGATATATCTATATATCTATGTATCTATATATCTCTATATATATACATCTATATATATACCTACATATCTATATATCTATCTATCTATCTATCTATCTATCTATCTATCTATCTATCTATCTATCTATCTATCTCGCCGATGCAGCGACGATGGGCCCCCGAGAGCGAATCTGCACGGTCCTGGCCGGGGCAAGCCATCGGACTCCATAGCGGCGATCCGTGGGCGAGATTGGGGGCCGGTGCGTTCTTTCCCTGAGCACCTATACCCACCTGGCGCTGCCCCCGATCCCACCCCCCCAATCCAGGCGCTGGTGCATACCAGCCTGGAACATATCACTATCCCTATGCTGGAATCCTCCTCATCACGATGCCACTCTCAGGGATCCCCCTATCTTTTTTGTTGAGGGCGGAGCCCTGAGACTGTCATCGCCCTCTGGCGTGTCAA